TCTTGGCTATTACTGCTTTGAAGGTTGTTTTAGAAAAAACTTATATTAAAACTAACAGAAGACAGATTTTTGTTGATTTTGTATTTAATCATTTACTGTGATTTCCAAAAGTGGGAGTAATTCTTATTACATAAAACTTACTGTTCCCGTTGCTTCAAAAGGTATTGCCACAGCTATGAGCCATCTCTTGTCTTTCCTGGGAACATACACTTTCCATTCCCCAGAACTGTTGCTTGCATGCATACATCAGTGACCTAAGGAAGAATCTATTTTTTCTTGTTTTCAAAAAACAAAACAAACAAACAAAACAAAAACAAAGGAAGCACATGAAGACTTGAACATTCACTACTCATTCTCTGCAGCACAGCTCAGAAGTATTATAAGACTTTGGCTAATTCCATCTTTGGTTATCATCGAAGCTTCTTTTCTCAGAAGGGAGAAGATGTCTACTCAGTGTAGCCCATGCACTGCAGTAGTTGTAATCCCCGGAAGCATTTCATATCCGACTCCTGCAGTTGCCAGGGGTCTAGCTAATTTTCCCTAATGCAAACTGCCCTAAGTGCTCTTTATAGCAGTTAAAAACCCTTGTGCTGTAATATTTTGTATGCTAGCTTGTTCAAGGCATAAAACTATATTCTCTAACCCCAGGTCCCTGACCCATTTAATTTTTAAGACTAGTTTGGAGGAAATATTCAGTTGAGTGGAACATGGCATTGGTACTGAGCTTTATATACTGTAACAAATTTAAAGCAAATTTACCTATTGTCTCTTATAGTAAGGTGCCAAATTGGAACTCAGTTGTTCTCATTGCATAGAACTTGGTAGATGATCTTTGGTATTCCTTCTGGAGATTCTGCCTTTGCTAGGACATCTGGACTGTAGGATAGCTATGGAAAGCTTTTCATGCTTTGGGTTAGCCAGAATGTCCAGCCAAAAGAAAAGTCTCTTACTTGGCCCTTGAGAATTTTGAGAACCATGTGTTTTGAAGCATTTGTAAAGCTAGACAATGAGAGATGTGTAATAAAAATGGACTATAGGTAACGTTTTGAAATATGGTTGGCAAGATTGCAATCTGAATCCTGTCAGACCAGCTTTGTTTATAGTGTTTCTTGAAGCTGCTTCGCTGCGATTTTAGAGGCTCTTGTTCAGCTACTATAGATGTTTGTGCTTCTGTCATCAAAATGCAAATATGAAAATAAAAACATAGTGGTAAATGTTCCATAAGGTAGAAAATGTTTCCTTTGCTTTATAACACTTTCATCCAACTTCAAATGGGGAACTAAAGGAATAGAAAATGTTCCATAGCAAAAAGGCTGGCTTTTAGAAATCCATTTTCCCCACCTCCCTTTTTCAGGTCTGATTTTTTTTTTGCTCTGTACAGACATTCAGTTTCTCCTAGGGAAGTCGCCAAGAGATACCACAAGAGTACAGATGTTCAGGCTTTTTCTCAGAGTAAAAATGGCCCCTCCAGGACAAAAATAACCTGGGAACAATCAAGGTTAAATCACTTCCAGGAGAAACTCTGGAACAGTGTGTGTGTGTGTGTGTGTGTGTGTGTGTGTGTGTGTGCGTGTACAAGCTGTGGCTTCTCTTAAAAGAGAATCTAGTTCTCGGCATTCCCTGCCTCTGTAGAGACAGCATGTTGCTGGCTGGACTGCTTCAGTAGGGAGCAGCATGCACCCCTCCACAGTCTTCACATCGTGCTGCAGGAAAGTGCAGGCTTGACAATGTGTGGTCTTGGTCAGCCAGTCAGGGCTGACTTCTGAACTGTTGCCATTTGTCACCAGGCAGATAAAGGAAGTCTGCAGAGCATGCTGAGGTGTTTGGACAGTCCCCC